TCAATACGAACCTTTGTATCACTCAAGGATTTATACAATTAAAGGCGGTAACAGAGAAGAAACGTCCACGCGATATTGTGAATATAGCCCTTATAGATGTTGGCACACATGTAAAGGAATTAGACCTACATAATTTATCAACGATTCGTGACTTCATGGACTTCTATGGGTTTAGATATTAAAAAGCCGATGTGAAAAAAATGTGAATCCGTCACGCTTGGACAGGCCGATATACTCTTTAAAAAACTATCAAAAGATGCAAATATTAGGAGAGGCAATAACTTTTTATTACCCCCCCCCCCCAGATTTTCCTTAGGGGAGGCAATTGTCTCCTCTCGCCTCTATGGCGCGCCGCCAATGATTCGTATGGTGCAGTTTTGAGAATATTATGTAACGCGCATAGTCGAAATGAAGCAGCAACGCATGATTGATCATACCAACACTAATTAAGCATACTTTATAAATATGTGCTGTCGTTTTTACAAACGAATATTTCTTATTTTTCATGAATGTGGGTGCAAGATAAAATAAAATGAGTGAAAAACAACCACTATTAAACACATCTGACGAATTGTTTGTTGATAATACTGATAATGAAGTCAACAACCAACTTGCAACCAATAGGTATGGTATAATAAGTAATGAACTTCGAAGGAAATATAATAAAATTATTCTTTTTCATAGCTTTCTTGATTGGCGTCGATGCTTTAGTGGCCAGAAAAATGCTGACGATTATAAAAAATTGAACCATGATACCGAATATGATGAAAAAAAGGATCTACCAGTTGGTGTTTTCCACTTAGTTAGTATATTCAAACGCAATACATACTAAGAGAAAAACCGCGAAAATCTCGGTCTTGAAGTTCTCTGTTTGATTTTTATTGTAGTTTAGGTTCGCAGATCGTCTTGATCTTCCTTTCATATTGCTGGCGGCATGTCTCCTTGTATTACATACAATTTGTCTCCTAACTAATCTAGTTCTTTTCGGTCAAATTACTAGCATCTTTGCTACTGAATCATTTTCTGTTAGTTGTCAACAACGTCAACATCAGAATAATAGTATATGTTCTCTTGGTATTGAGCTCAGTCTTGCCAATGATGCTCGACTACATAAGTAATCTCATTAGCAATTAATATTGGTTCCAATTTTTATTCATTTTTTTCGGTATAGACTGTGTCATAATAGTGATATAATTTCTTCATCAACATTAACTCCATTCGTGTCTTCATTTCGAGAAAACATTATGAAGAAGGTTCAATGGTTATTTAGTAAGTCATAGGAATGTGATAGTTTGATTCCACAAAAAAACAGCGAAAGGACGAGTAGCGATAAGGCATGTTTTCGGCCCAAAAAGCTAAGCTTCGAGACGTATGTATTCGGAATCAGCATCAAATTCTGAGTAGGATTACGTTTAAAAATTGTTGAAAATCGAAAAAAGCAATTCTTTTAGAAAAATCTTGAAGATGAGAAGGGCTAGGAGAAGATCAAAAACAATTTTTCTGTATTTCGATCTAGTTCGTCTTTTCTCCTATACACTCACGTATACTGATAACAAATATATCATAACTAGATTACTCAGAAATGCTTTACTGTCAAATCGCGCCTAAAACAAAAAACCCACCTAGGACTCACTTTTCTTGATTTGCTACCTCCCTAATAATAGGAGGAAAACTACGATAGACCAGGCAAATTAAAGCATATTTAATTCACTGTGGTCTATCAAATTTTAAAAGAACTAAACCAATCAAACATCATCATTGATTGATAAAGTTTTGATAATTGTCATCAGTACCTCTCTAAATACAGTGATATTTGAAGATCATCGCATGTATACTTAGAAGCCACGAACAAAAATAATATTTTCCTTGAAAACATATCAAGTGATGCTTTTCCCAATGAAATAGTTCTTTAAGTCATTTTCGATATAGAAAGCACTCATCTAACAACACCGAGATATAGCAAAATGGCATCGGACAGGTACAGACACAGTTTCATTTTTTTTCTGGCAGTAATTTTTAAATGTATTATTTTGTAACCATAATCGAGTTGTGTGAGGAATTATATTTATTACCTCTCCGAATTACTTGTAGACTGAAATATGAAATGTTCAAAAAGCTGATTTTCGTCAAAATTAGCTCCATAATCGCCTTTTTTGTGTACTCAAAAAGTGAGTACACTACTAAAATCGGTCACCATGTCCGTCCGGCCGTGCCCCCGTTTATCCAATAACTCACGATAAAGTTTGAGCGTCTAACAGCAAATCTTCTTCCCCAGATTTGTCCCATGAATATCTCGATCTAGTTGAATGATGAGAACCATCGGTCAAGAAATGGTTGAGATGTCGTGAAAATTCTAAAAACTCCTTTCACGAGCCCTGAGGGAAACTACAAGGGTTTTCAAAAAAAAAACTTTTTTCTACCACATATATTGCTATAGTCAGTTTTATCAGAGCAACCACGTCTTGAAAAGCTGTCCCATAGGTGTATCCTAGGATCCTCATATGCTATACTATGAGGATAGTTGTGGCTTGTTTTATGCTATAGTGTTAAGACGGCTTGGGTTGTCCAGTTTTAGACTATGATGACATTCGTTAGTTTGGCATGAAGTGTCCCTAGTTACCGTCCGATTTTCTCATAAGTTGCGTTATACCAATATGCCGCTTCGGTTTGCAATAATCGGCTGCTCGGACTTATCTTTTGTTGCTCATTGTAAAATCTTGATATGACACTTAGAGTGCTCTGTAGCTTAAATCTCATACACTTTTTAGAGTACACATCACTTCCGGATAAAATCCGAAGTTTCCGCATTTATTATTTCCTCTGAACAGTTATTATCTCATGTCAGCAAGCTGCCTAGATATTCGAATTTTTCTAGGTTCTCTATGGTGCTCCTTGCTACTTGTTATCGATATTCCTATCTCCAAAAACTGTCAGTTTGGTTTTATTTATATTCAAGATCAGCCCAGCTTTGTTTAGCAGCTGTTCTAATTAGCTCTATTTAGCGTTGAAGTGAGCTATTGTCTTCATCCATGAGATCAATATCATCGGCGAATGTGAGGTTGTTTATTACTGCTCCGCTAATATCGATTTCGCAGGTGTTCTGTCTCACCTGGCCCATTACTCACTTGAGATATGCGATGAAGAGGAGTGGTGACAGAGGGTCGCCTTGTCTAGTACCTACGTATGTTCGAAACCACTCTTCATAATATATACCAATGCAAACCGTTGACTGTGACTTTTCGTAGATGTATTATAGCAAGATGATTATCTCTGCATCCACACCATAGGATTTTAGCATAGCCCAAATAGTTTTATGTTTTATCGCATCGCATGCTTTTTGAAAACATATAAAGCAATTGCATATTTTTTTGCCCTGTCTTTTTGTTTTTTCGACCAATACTCTAAGCGTTCATATTTAATGGGCGTTACTCCTGTCTTTTCTGAATCCTACCTGTTCTTTGGATAGACATGGATCCAGTTGATATTTTAATCTCTTTAGTAGTAATATTAGTGGTACTTTTCCTGTGTGATTAATAAGCGAGATTGTTCGATAATTTGTGCAGTTGCTGAGATCTCCTTTCTTTGGAATAGGTGCCAACATAGATTTGCCTCATTCTTCCGGAAGCGTACCTTCGTGCCATGCTTTGTTACAAAGTTTGTGGATTTTACGTGATAGCGGTTCGCGTCCAGCTTGCAGCATCTCCGCTGTTACGTAGTCTGATTCTGAGCTCTTATTTCTTTTTGATGAACTTGTCGCCGTTCGTACCTCTGCGTACAAGATATCGTGAGAACTTTCATTTTCAGAAGGCGCAATGTCTTCAAATTCTTTCACTATCCCATCCCCACCTCTACACTCTAGAAAAAATAGGAGTTTTACCGAACCTGTATCGAGGTGAAGATCCTTTGGAGTTCGGTATCGATTTACTGAACTAAAAGAAGTTTCGTAGAATGTTCGCCAATCTTTTTTTGGTTCAGCAAACTGATACGGTACCCTAAAGGATCTGAACCTCGATACAGATTCGGTAAAACTCCTATTTTTTTAGAGTACAAGATCTTTATACAGACTGCTGTGATATTTTGTAGACCTTTGTTTGATCTCATCTTTTGACTGTAACATTGTTCCCTGTTGATTTTTTATAACATTTAGTCGAAATACAAAGTCTTTTCTTATATCCGATACTTAGAACTTTTCCAGCTTGCTCACATTCGTCTTGTATCAAATGTTCTTTATTCTGTCTTGCGGATCTCTTGACTTTCCTACATGGGCCTTTATATTGTTGTGTATATTCTAAGAAAACGTGTTTTAGCTGTTTTAATCTACGTTTTTCGTCGGTTAGTTTTAGTGTCTCTACTGAAATCCAAGGTTTTTTAACTATTCTTTTTGTTAATACAGTTGCCTCTACTGTGGATTTGATAGCCTGTCCTATCTTTGTGGCATGTTCCTCCAGACTACATGTCGGCTCTATTTGTTTAATCTGTTCCATTAGAGCGATGCTGTGTGATCACTTTATTTTCTCATCTCTTAATCGGTTCATATAAACTCCGCAACATTTTTGTGACTTGTTGTGCGATTTCATAAGTTTCAAGTCACTATTGCACAACGCTAATGAATGATATGAGTTTATGTCTGCACTCTGAAATGTTCTACAGTTGGTGACCGAGGTCTTCCATTCCCTCTGAATGAGTAACAAGTCAATCATATTTTTGTGAATGCCATCTGGTGATGCCCAAGTCCACTTTTGATTTGATTTATGTCCAAATCTTGCATCATACATGTATAGATTATGCACTGTAGCAAATTCTAATAGGTGTTCTCCGCGTTCGTTTCAATCACCATAGCCATATTTCCCCCATATCGTTGTAGAATGCTTCAGTACCTTCTTCTAAAGATGAAGGTTGGTGCGTACACGTGTATCACCGAAATTTAAAATGGTGTTGCATCGAATCGTGCCGAAATCATTCGTGAGCTGATTGGATTGTATCCTATTAATGCCTTTTTTGCTTGAATGCTTAGTAAGAACCCCGCACCTCTCGTATGTGAGGGCTCCTCTTCTGACCAGGCGAAATCTCCTTTGAATGATTCACTTCTCCCTGTTCATCGGACCTCTGAAATATGAATTATATCGACCTAAATCATGTTATTTCTGAGAAGTTCTAGCGTGTCTACAGCCCATAATGTCTGCATTTTGCATATTCCTACCGTCAAAATATTTTTGGCAAGTTTTAGTTTTTGTATGTTTTTCATCGTATATGAATTCTTTCCAGTCGCCGATTTTTCGACTCTGTTCTAATCACTCGACAGAGGACGCAGATCTTGTTTCACCGAGCGTTATCCGAGCCGGAATGAATTATCTCTGCTATCGTTCATGGTTGGTTTCTTTCGTTTTGCTCTTTATACAGATGGCAGTATCTGCACCCCATCTGTCTAACACTCCTCCTTTTTCCGGACTTATGACCGACATGAAGCCCGCCGCTTAACAGTTTTCATGGTGGAGTTCTCTATTAGTAGGGAGGTAGAAAATCAAGAAATGTGAGTCCTAGGCGGTTTTTTTGTTTTAGGCGCGATTTGACAGTAAAGCATTTCTGAGCAATCTAGTTATGATATATTTGTTATCAGTATACGTGAGTGTATAGGAGAAAAGACTAACTAGATCGAAATACAGAAAAATTGTTTTTGATCTTCTCCTAGCCCTTCACATCTTCAGGATTTTTCTAAAAGAATTGCTTTTTTTCGATTTTCAACAATATTTAAACGCAATCCTACTCAGAATTTGATGCTGATTCCGAATACATACGTCTCGAAGCTTAACTTTTTGGGCCGAAAACATGCATTATCGCCACTCATTCTTTATCTCTTTTCTGTTCTCATACAGTTATTGGTGGTATCATGTTTCTATGTTGTTCGGTCGAATATTTTAATTGGACGATTCTCGTGAAACGACAAACATCCCGTATGAATATTTTGCTTTTTCGATCACTTATTCAACGGGTAGGTCAAATGTTTTTCTAACATTTAATCTCAATATTTCCTCAATGAAGTTCTAAGGGAAAATATTTTGCTATTGCTCTCTCATTTCTAGAATATGGCTTTTTTTGATATGAATCCGATTGGTCAATTCAATTCTAAACTATTTAAGTAAGCCATTGTGACATTTCATATATAATAACACTACCTAATCGAATTTTTTTTGTAGTAATATTGAAACGATTGAGAGAGGTATTGGTTTTGAATTTTTGACATTACTAGGAATCATATTGGGCATGATCAGTGGTATAATATTATCTTTTATTATCAATTGGCAATTGACTTTGATCATGCTATGCCTTACACCTGTTATTATTAGCCCTTCATTCTTGTTTTCTAAGGTATGAATGATTAATTTTTCAATCAATGTAATTTATATCAACACTCATAGCTCACCGCTAATGAATCAATCAATGAATTAAAATCATATTCAAAAGCTGGACAGATTGTTCTAGAAGTTTTTAGCTCATTGCGATCTGTTCTTTCACTTAATGGAGGCAAATTTGAACGAAAACGGTAAAACAAATCTATAGAAATAATTTTTATATAATAGATTATTATAAAGCATGTTGCTGTTGATGTCATTGTATTTATTTGTATTTAGATATGAAAAAGAATTAGATTCTACTCGTCAGAGTAGTATACGAAAAGGTACTGTATATGGTATCTTTGTTGGTTGGTCATCTCTTATCAGCTACATAACTTATACAGTTGGTTTTATCTTTGGCTCTTTACTTATGTCTTATGGAAACGATCATATATTGAACATGAGTGATATGCTTGTTGTAAGAGATTGACAGCATAAATGTATACGAAAGTGATTGAGGAGTTTATTTTCGTCCAGGTTATCTTCATATTTGCACAGTGTACAAGGTACTTTAATACGATTGGCCCTTTCTTCCAGGCATTTTCGGAAGCCCAGGGTGCAGCAGCACCTGTTTTTCGACTCATTGATGAGGTAAATCCAAACCAACAAGAGAGATTGCCTTTCAACATCAATACTTTCAATTTGTTTTCTTCATATAGGCACTAGACGCCAGTATAAATGAAACAGATCTATTAGAGGAACACATATCAGATAAAGATCAATCGATTTGTGATATAAATGGTAATATTAAATTTGAGAATATCAACTTTATTTATCCATCTCGAAAAGATGTAAAAGTTCTGAATAATCTCAATTTCATTGCTCGTGCTAATCAAACAACTGCTCTCGTTGGTTCAAGTGGATGTGGTAAATCCTTTCTAAAACAATCAAATACATTATAATGAATTTAGTTATTTTCACCATTGATTCAAAGGAAAAAGTACAAGTATATCACTTCTTCTTCGTTACTACGAACCATCATCAGGTCGAGTCATGATCAATGGTCGATCAGTTACCGATTACAATATGAAACAACTTCGACAGAACATTGGGGTTGTCAGTCAAGAACCTGTAAGCTTTTTCCTGTTCTTTTTTAAAAATTTTTCCCTTTCTCGTTAACCTAATCTTTAAACAGGTTTTGTTTGGTATGAGTATTTACGAAAATATTCGCCTCGGTAAACTGAATGCAACAGGCGCAGAAATTGAAGAAGCAGCACAACAAGCCAATGCACATAATTTTATTATGAAATTACCAAATGTTTGTATCCCCTAATATTCATATATATATATATCTATATGTTGGCGTCCAATGTGAGATTCAGGTCAATCTAAGATCCGCCTAGGCGAAAGTGGAATTCCACATTGGACTAGTCCAAAGTCGGATTACTGCTATTTCACAGCGTAAAACTCAATTTACTTCACAAATTGATATGGCCCATAGGTAAGAGTAAGAGTATGAGCGACGCCGAGGTTTTCCTGTCGATTGCCGACTTCAAAATGAAAATNTCTCTCTATTTGTTGCTCTATATTATAGAGTAGTTTGTTTTCTTTTTCGTGTGATTCTCATTATTCGTTTTGTCCTTGTCTGACCCGAATAAACGTGATTGCCATCTCACATCTTTCACTGGGTACGGTAAGATTGATTTCTTCTTTAGAGATCCATAGATCATTTGCGATCTAGGATTCATCATTGATTGAGATAGGTACACACACTTTTTCGAGACCATAGGACTTTTGCATCCCCTACATCGAGAACCTCACAAAATGTCGGTTATTTTTGTTCATTTATTCGATATATGTGACGAATTTTGTTGTAATAATTAGGCCGTTAGTGAGTTTTATCAGTATTGATTCAAAAAAGAACAGGGTATACTATTTTATCTCCGGTTTGTTTCATTGAAACAGATATACTTTTTTGCACATTTGTTCAGTATACAGAGGTTTTTTCGACTTTGGGACCGAAAAAAGCGTTCACCGTTCAGAGCTGTGAGGTGTTCATTATATGGAGGTCAATTTACAGCAAAAATTCATCGGGGAGGGGGGGGGGGGGGTCGGAGGCTGTGTTCAAACAAGAGATATTCATTAAGGGAGGTCTTACTGTATATATATATTATTCGTTATATTTAGAAATATGAAACACTTGTTGGTGAATGTGGTATACAATTGAGTGGTGGTGAAAAACAACGTATTGCATTAGCTCGCGCCCTCGTCAAACAGCCCAGCATTCTTTTATTGGATGAAGCTACGAGTGCACTTGATAATGTTAGTGAAAAAATTGTTCAAGTAGCACTTGATCGAGCATGCAAAGGTAAGAATTATTCATATTTTTCTCTTGATTCTATTAGTAGTACATTATAATGAATAGACCGTACTACTATTATTATTGCTCATCGTCTTAGCACAATTCAAAATGCCGATTATATATATGTATTAGATAAGGGAAGTATAATCGAAGAAGGTACACATAAAACATTAATGACAAAAGAAGGAGGGAAATATCAAACAATGGTCAAAAGTCAACAAATGAAGCGAATGATTGATGACGATGATAAAGATGATATAGTGAGCATGGCAAAAATGATAGAAGAAGATGAACATCGAATATGTATGTTAATATTATAATATTGATAGTGATCGTTTCTTTTAAACTTTCCTTTTCATTACAATAGTGGAACGCTCTCGTCTGTTGAGTGATGGTGAAGCTATTGACATGACTAGGNACGAGATTTGTTGGTCATAAAACAAACGTTCAACAAAGAGAAATATACAATGGTCAAAAGTCAACAAATGAAGCGAATGATTGATGACGATGATAAAGATGATATAGTGAGCATGGCAAAAATGATAGAAGAAGATGAACATCGAATATGTATGTTAATATTATAATATTGATAGTGATCGTTTCTTTTAAACTTTCCTTTTCATTACAATAGTGGAACGCTCTCGTCTGTTGAGTGATGGTGAAGCTATTGACATGACTAGGGTACAAATAAACATATGATTATTTGTCAAAATTATTATCAATGTAGTTTTTCTAGAAAAGTTCACTGGCATCAAGTAGACAATCCATCTTTCTAAGACTCTTGTCAATGAGTAGCCCAGAATGGATCACTATTTTGATTGGTTGTATAGCATGTATACTTAATGGATTAGGTCAACCAATGTTTGCAATATTGCTGACCAAAATAATCGATGTGAGTGATCTATTTACGCAAATATCATGAAAAACGATAGAAAACATGCATGTATCTTTTTATATTGATTTATTTGTTATATAGGCATTCAAAGATTGTGGAGGTTCTGATGCACGTCCTAAAGTGTTGATTTCTAGTCTTTTCTTTCTGTTGCTGGGTCTTCTTATATTGATTCTTCGTTTTTTTCAGGTAAAAATAATACTTATAAACTTAATCAATGATTTTTTTCTCGTCCATCTCTTTAGTATACAGCTTTTGCTATAGCAGGATCGAAATTGACTCAACGTATCCGTTCAAAAGCTTTTGCACGCCTTCTTCGTCAAGAAGTCGCTTATTTCGATCGACCTGAAAATAGTTCTGGCGCTATCAGTGCTCGCCTTTCTTCCAATGCATCAGCTGTCCAAGAGATGGCTGGTACAAGGTTGGGTTTTATCTGTGAAGGTGTCGCATTGTCCGGTTTTGGTCTATCATTTGGCTTTTTCTTCAATTGGAAATTGACAATGACCATACTTTTTCCTCTTATTTTTCAAAGTATGGCTGTTTATCTGGACATTCGGTTCAGTAGACATCTCAAACAACAATCTGGTCTTATCCTTCAACGAGCAAGCACGGTAAAATCAGATTGCCAATCATGGTCTTTTATATTATAGAGGTTGAGAAGTTTTGTTTTAGTTCGGATCTAAAAAACTGTTAAAAACGACCTTTGAGAAGAATTAATCTGTTTCAATAGTTTTTCTGAACAAACTGTTCGAGCCGATGTAGTATTGATCTATAACTTCTCACGAATTATGCCGGACTGATACGTGAAATCTGTTAGGATCAACCTAGAACTCATCAGAAACTATCTGAAGCAAGGGGGAAGTAACTGATTTCTGATTTCTTGATTTCTAGCTAGAAATCAGTTTGTTCCCCCTGGATCTAAAGAAAGTATCGACGGCTCCCGAAGGTCCACCTAGGAATGATACCTAGGATTGTTAAAGGTCTGTGTCGGGATAGGGAGACATACGTGAAGATCTAGAGGCATGAATAGGATGTAACCGAAGTACCTCTACAACCGATAAAGTGTTAAATATGACCGCTGATTTTCGTCTTAGAGTAAATTGAGAATATGGTTAAATATTCTGCAAGTCACTCACAGTTTTACTCAACCTTAGAACCCGTCGGGTCCAGGTCCGAGTGTGAGAAAAATTTTATAAATATGAAATTTTTTCAAATTTTCATTCATTTCAAAGTATCTTTAGTTCATTTATTAAAAGACAAAAGCAAAACCAAACACTTCATAAATAAATTCGTTGTTCGATACCATTAACAACGACAACAGTAAAATAGTCCCGCACTGGAGATGATTTATCAGCTTTTTTTTTCGTTTTTGAAATACAACTGATGTATTATTTTACTTTATCAGTCGAGTAATCTCATTCTTATTTGATAATTGATTCATGATATATTTTGACGAATATTTTAAAAGTAGATTAAGTTAAAAACGAGATTTGTTGGTCATAAAACAAACGTTCAACAAAGAGAAATATACAAATTTTGTTCACTCGAACATATTTGAAATTGATGTATTCCTTTTGTTTCACCTGAAACTAATGGATACAGGGAAACTAATTATAGTTTATCAGTAAAAGTGACTGTGAAAAGTTCTTCGATATATAGTGAATGAGCTAGTCATCAGTAAAGGCAATTTAAGGATAGAACGGAGTATTAACAAAGCGAACACAACATTTTCATAAAATAAGTACTCTAAACCTGAGGATAATTAAAGTCCGGATCCGGGCCCAAAATTCTTGAACCCGACGGGCTTTACTCAACTGTAAAGGTACATTGATCACAATCTACACATACCTTCACATCTTTCGCTGTACCTCCTTGTCCTTACACGGTTCTTCAAGAGTTCTAAGTATCACTCTTAGATAGACTGAGAAACCTAGACTGTCTCTAACAACTCTGTCATATCAGCCTTGTGTAATTTGTAAGAAATTATAGATTAATGCTATATCGAGCCAATCAGTTCATTGGTTTATTTGAGCTCAGTTTATGAACTTGCGCTGGTTGATCCTTAATATATATACATATTATTATAAACTACTTTATTGTGTATTTTTTGATAAAGTAAACATTCTATAATGATTTTATCTTTTTCTTTTTCAGCTTGCTGTTGAAGTCATGCAGAATATACGTACAATAAAACAGTTATCCGTCGAAAATGAAATTTTACGACAATATTCTCAATTTATTGATCAAATATTAATGTTAGTTTCGTGAATATTACACATATCTAAAGTTTCTATAAATTTTCCTTTGTATAGAGCATTTTGGAGACCTAATATATCAGCTTCATTACCATATGGTACATACTGGTCATTAGAATCATTTATTTTGGCACTTCTGTATTGGTGTTCTCTTATCCTCATTGAAAAGAACGAATTAGCTTTGCATAACACTATAATGTAAATCGAACGACAGTTTGTACGATCTATAAGCAACATTGTTACATTTTTCTGTTCTTAGCGTCTCTGCTTTTGCTATGTTTGCATTTCAATCATTGAGAGTCGTCGGAATGTTGTACGTTCTTCAACTTCTATTTGTTGCTTGCTCTTAACTCTGTTGTTCGGCTTCTAGATCTCGGCGTATTGGTGCATCGATAACTGCTGCTGAAATCTTTTTTGATTTGTTTGATCGAATACCAACTATTGACAATGCATCTACTAAAGGACAACAATTGGTAAGTAAATAGTATAGCATCACTATTATATTTCAATCGTGCAATTTTGTCTTATTTACCTTACGAACTATGTAGGTTAACTTTCGTGGAGAGATAGAGTTCGATCAAGTTAAATTTGTATATCCAACTCGACCAACTACCATTGTTCTTAACAAACTAAAAATGACTGTTAAGCCAGGTAATTAAAATAAATTCCGATATACGCTATAGTTTTTCTCATGTTTTCTTCATTTATAAGGTCAACGCGTAGCTCTTGTAGGTATGTTGAGGTATTTTTTTTCTTAATGGTAATTCACATAAAATGATTGATAAAGGTACATCTGGATGTGGAAAATCAACAATTATTCAACTATTAGAACGATTCTATGATGTTACACATGGTCGACTAGTGAGTACATTTCTATCATATGGGCAAAATCACGTAAAACAGGACATCCACCTCTCTCGTTTCGTTTCAATTTTTGACGACAGTATCTTTTCTGACTAAATTCTTTTATCACAAACATATGTAAAAATGTTTGCTCTTTCTGATGCCATTTAATTAAAATTAATTAACTAATTAACTAATTAATTAAGCAGTAATTAGTGAATATCTCCCCAACGACATGACGAAAAACTTTGAAACTTTCGAGATAATTTCTATGACCCAACCTACATATCTGATAAAATTTTCAGTAAAATCGGAGATGTGAAATTTCCCTCGAAAAATATCATCCTCTCGGCTCCTGATAAGCGCGAATCAGAAATTTTTACTTCGCCGTAAACTAAAGATATTGAAGAATGATCCATGTTTATATGAATCGATTTGGATCTTTCTTCTAGTCGTACCAGTATTTTTTCGCCCGACCACTCGTACTCAGTCACGTCGCTAACGACAGTTTTTCAGTAGTGGTTACCTACAGGAAGGTTTTTTGGCGCTGATTTTTTTAGACGTATATAGAACAACTAATTCTGTATATTATGTAAAAAAATCAATCTCCGACCAACTCCTTATACAGAGATACACATATTGAAAGTGTATGGTGTCACGTCGCTATTAAAATGATTTTGTTCATATATATTCATTAAATAATCCTATAAACGTTGTTTATTCAACTTAGCTACTTGATGGTATTAATATTCGACAATTAAATATCCAATGGATTCGTTCTCGCTTGGGTCTTGTTAGTCAAGAACCCATCTTATTTGATTTAACAATTGCTGAAAATATAACATATGGATTAGAAAATATTCCAATGGAAGATATTATCGATGCTGCAACTAAAGCTAACATTCATCAATTTATTCAACAGTTGCCTCAGGTAAGAACAACATAAAACGAGACTGAATGTTTCATACTATTTTCTCTTGTGTTTAGGGTTATGAAACAAGAGTTGGAATAAAAGGCAGTTTTCTATCTGGTGGCGAAAAGCAACGTGTTGCTATTGCTCGGATTCTTCTTCGCCGACCTAAAGTATTACTTTTAGATGAAGCTACAAGTGCTATGGACTCCTATAACGAACAAGTATCTTTCTTTCTATGTTCTTTTGACGAACTTGATCTTTATTTATTGAATTCTAGATTGTACAACAAGCTCTTGAACAGGCTCAGACAGAAGATTCTAGTCGAGCGTCACTAATTATTGCTCATCGTCTTTCAACTATTCGTTCATGTGATTTAATTTATGTACTTGATCAAGGACATATAGTAGAAAGTGGTACTCATACAGAATTGATACAACAACGTGGAGTTTATTATCGAATGCTTGCTACTCAGAATAACTTATAGTAACAACTACTGAAATATTTCGATAGCACAAATACATTTTATCGAACATAACGAATAACTTCTTCTGAAACTTTGTCGAAAGATAGAGTTATATCCTTAATTTTTTTCTCTCATCTTATGTTGTTAATGAAATATTGAATTATTTATCCACTTATGCAGCATTACATTTTATATCTAATTTCCCTCTATTGTTCGAGGTCAATAAAAGATACTCGTTCGTCAACTCATAATCTTTCATTTTTTTTATCTACAGACTAGTCCAAAAGTAATGTAATTCATTATTTTTTTTTCGTTTCTTCTTCGCACATGATCAGTCAATTCTCATATTTACTCTACCTACATTAGATTAGGTAATATAATCAGCGACGAGCCCACAGTATGGACAATAGAAACCGATCCCTCTCCCACCGGAAAAAAGTTTTGATACAGTAAAAATTCTGTAATGTGAACACCGTCGGGATCGACAGGAATCGTTTCGTAGAAGGGTTGATTATATTGGAAGAGTTCACGCATAATAAATGGAAAGATTGACTATATTACATTCTACCTTCTTTAAAGTGCATCTTCTTATTTTGTCCCATAATTTTTTCACCATTTTAAATACTTATTGCAATTAGACAAATCCTAAACTTCATCTGAAGATTTTAGACACATAGAGTTTTCAGAAATCACAAATAGATGCCTATTTGGACATATTGGAATATAGATAGGCACCGAAAAGTTATAGTTGACGGCTTGACTATTATGATTCTTCTACTTCTGCTTTCGTTTTTTGTTTTGATTAGCTTCGTAATCAGGGAGGGGTGAGCGATGAGCTAAGCAATTCTACGACGCGTTTCGACTGTTGCTTAGACAGTCTCATCAGGTAGTTTGAGGGCTGCGTAAATACGAGTACAATTTGTATTCTACTTTCTGAGTCATTCGGAATCCGTCAGCTTGTACTCTACTCTATCGTCTTGTACTCTCATGTATCTTTAGATTGCTGGTGTAAGTCGAACGGAATTAAGCACATACTCACATGCACAAAAAATAAAAAGATTTTGAGCATCATACGAATTGCATACTCATGTGGATCGACCAAGAGGCCGAAAAGAAAATTAGTGAGATGACTTATTGTTTACCGATGAAACTGTTTGTTGAGCAGAGATATTTCAAAATACATGAGAGTACATACAGTTGTAAAAAAGATGATTCGACTGAGATACATAGAAACTGAAGTGAAATGTGATATAAATACATATACAGAAAAAGTTCAGTACAATTTGTATTTGTATTTGCACATCTTTGCATCATTCCATAAGATGGTTTATTCTATTTAGTTCTCTGTGAATACAATTACGCGTAGTCTTATTCGAAGACGAGTAACTCGAATAAAAAACATACTAACCTTCGAGTTAGCTATTCAAACGAAATTAATTTAATATTGTTAAATAGTTTATTTTCATTGAATGTTTTCCTTCCATAGACAAATTTTAAATTATCTTAGAATAACACAATATATATATAAAGATTTGAGTAGAAATCAAATAGTAACATTTGAATTTTTATTGGATATACTTTTTCACTTAGAAAACAAACAAATTTGTTGGAATATAGTTTTATAAGTGGACAAAAGAACGAATAAATACTTTATAGATTCTATAAAATTTGAGATATTTTTTTATTATTTTAATTATGAAATTGTTAATTTCAGTTTCTTTATATTTATTAATTAACATTGTACAAACAAATATGCATATCATATTCTGTTCTTCTTATATTTACCCGAGCAGACAAGAATCGTCAAAAACACGTGAAAACGCTATAAAAATTTTCGCCGTGTTTCTCTACCAATCTCGGTCCCCGATTGTCAGCTAGAACCGTCATAAATAAAAGTCCGAAAAAACACCAAAAAAATTTACTACAATATTTGTCTCTGGGTATTCAGTACGTT